CTGAAAGGATGAGGGGTGAATTTCCTTACTTAGCAGTTCATTTCAATTCCAGATTAAGGCACTTGTTTTGGTCATCCTCTAGTCAATCATTCCACAAAAATGTCAGGAAACGTGAAGGAAGGAAGGAAGGAAGGAAGGAAGGAAGGAAGGAAGGAAGGAAGGAAGGAAGGAAGGTAGGTTACATAAATTAATCTTAAATCTCTATTGAAAGTTCAATTTGCAACATTTTCTCTTTCCTTCCACATTGTATCAAGATAGTTTCTTGCTAAAACTTATGGTTGCAAATATATGTATGAAGATACTTTTGAGTAACATCATCTGTGCTGTCTAGGTAACATCGTCAGTGCACCGTTGATGTTATCTAGTCACAAAATGAAACCACCAAGCTCAGAGACCACCAAGGACTCCACCATGAACTGTTTAACCACCCAATTTAGATCTGGGGAGGTCCTCCCTACCAGGATCTCTGCATCACCATTTATGATATTACTGGCTTTAATCTTGAGAGAGTAACATTTTAAAATTAAAATTAAATTTGTTTAAATTAAAGAAAAGGGGGTAAATGATAGAGGAAAGGTATGCTCAAGTTTTTGTCAATTAAAAATGAATTTTTACTCATTAATCTTTTGAAGACTAAAGAAAAAAATATAGATTTAAAGAAATAAAGCTTTAAAAATGTAAATAGGACCCAAACGGTTTCCACTCATTATTGCATACTCATGGTTTATACATACATCACATCAGCAATGTCTTCATTATTGATAGGTTATGTGGAAAAGATCCATGTTGATACTGCTAGTCATAATTACTTCTCCTTCAGAAGCACCACTCTTTCCTTCTTCGTTGGCTCCAACATCCAAAATTAAAGTCCCAGGAAACCTCATTGTTTCTATTTTACTCCACATCTTTAAGAGTCCAATCCACTAATTATCTTCCATCTTTATTTATTTTTGCAGGAAGGGCCAAAGGAGATTCTGTCAACCAAACAATTCATCTGATTACAGTGGAAGTAGGGCGAGATGTCCAGTTACAATGCAAATATGAAACTTCTGTCTCCCCATCCCTTTTCTGGTATCAACAACATCCATACAGCAGCCCTCAGCTCTTGCTGGCAAGTTATGATTCTGAAGGACACAGCCAGAAT